GATCAGACGTACGCGAAACGCGTATTTTATATAGTCGCGCGGAGCCATTCAACGCACGCGGCACCCACTGCTTTATGTCTCTCTCTCCTCTCTCTCTCTCCTCTCTCTCTCTCTCTCTCTCTCTCTCTTTCTCTCTCTCTCTCCGCTCTCTCTCTCTCTACTCTCTCTCTCTCTCTCTCTCTCTCTCTTTCTCTCTCTCTCTCTTCCACCTCTCTCCTCTCGCCTCTCCATCTCTCTCTCTCGCCTCTTCTCCTCTCTCTCTTTCCCCCTTTCGAGAGAGAGAGAGAGAGAGAGAGAGAGAGAGAGAGAGAGAGAGAGAGAGAGAGACATAACGAGTGGGTGCTCGCGTGCGTGAATGGCTCCCGCGACTATACGAAATACGGTTTCGCGTAACCGTCTGACAACAAATTTATTACCATCTATCTACAAGAACACTAGCAGTAAACATGGTAGTACTACATGGCCTCCTATGTTCGCAGTGATAATGCCTACGTGATAATGCTTACCCAGAATCCTGGATGTTTTCGTGTTAGAGCTATAGGAATCCTTACAACACTCGAAAATGTACACTAAGCTGGCCCTGCATGCTACCGTCTCGATACTTCGAATGTCCGAGATCAACCAAAATCATTCCTCGAAAATCAGAATCGAAAGTAGAATTAGTCGTTTGCTGGGGGGAAAGCGAACACCAGGGTGCGAAATTAACAGGAGTCCGGAGTCAAATACTCCCTGATTTACTGTCGGACTCCCTGATTTGACATATGCAGGAGTCCGTGCGACTCCCTGAAAATTCTGATATACTAACTAGTTTGTTCCAGAGCACAGCGTCGCGGAATTACCGTATTTTTTTAGCTAATGTCCAAAGAAAATTTGGCAGACGTGCAACCGCATGAATTTTCAAAATAAGCACATGCGTTATTGTAAAATATCTTTAATTTTGAACCTCAGACTGCGGACTCCCTCATTTTGCTGCGGACACCCTCTTTTTGAGGGTAGGGAGTCCGTTGGACTCCCGTGTTCAAAAGTTCATTTCTACTCCTGGAACACGATATCGTAATTCATGAGGGAATGTGGGAGTAGCGGTGAGAGATCGCACGCAGTCGTGTGCTTCGCCAAGTGAAGCAGCATTACTGAATGCAATTACCAGAGTGGTCTCACCTGACGAGGTAACGGGAACCCTCCCACCAGGTAAACAGAAACATTAGAGCTGTGATGAGTCTAGAAACGCCAGCGTTCTGTGCGTATTAATGCTCTATGGGCCGCGGAATCACATTTACAGACTATAACCTTTCACTTATCGGCTTTATCGGCTTGACACAGAAAATGCGCTTTCGGGGAGGATGAGCTGGCTTACGTGTTATGATATTATGTTCACCGAGAACTTATCGTCACCTGAAAGCGCGCGCGTCTGCTTATGAATGATAACATAATCTGCTGTGGAGTGTGGATTGATGTCGATTCGTGCCAGGGATTTGAAAATATGATGTAGTCGCAAGATCTCGCTACCCTCTCCTGCCCCCCCCCCCCACGTACAGCCTGGCATGGGGGGCATGCAAAGTCTGTGGTAGCTCCAAGAAACGGTCTTGCTAATCACTTTGTGTTAAGGGGGTCGCACACCAGCCGATTTTTCACGCGATTTGATCGGCCCGATAAAAATACATTTTATCGTAGGTTTTTTATGACATCACATTTTATCGTAGGTGTGCGCGTGTTTATCGGAAGGCCTGCGCACACCTACCCAAAAATCGGTCCGATTAAAAAATCTCTTCATCGTTTGTAAAATCGGCTCAGCGCGACGCCTTCTGATAAACACCCGCACACCTACGATAAAATGTGATGTCATAATAAACCTACGATAAAATGTAAATGTCATGTGACACGGGCACGTTCAGCTATTGGCTGTTCAATATTTATCGTAGACGATTTTCCTGAGTTCACGCGCACACCACAAAATCTTGTCGGATTACACAAAATCGCTTCAAAATAATCGGTTCAAAATCAAACATGTTTGATTTGGAACGATCACCCGATAAAAATAATCGTAAGTAAAATCGTCTACAAATGAACGCGCACACCTACCCGATATCGGCTGATTTCTATCGGGCCGATCAAATCGCGTGAAAAATCGGCTGGTGTGCGACCCACTTTATGCTGGGTTTACACTATCGATTTTTGTCAGCAAATCGTGCCGATTTCAGCGAACTCCAACTTTGCCCCGACTTGACCAGATAGAAGTTGGTGTTGAGCTGTTGTTTACACTATCGATTTTGTCAGCAAATCGTACCGATTAATTACTAAACGGCAACATTAACCTTACCGCTCCTATCCAAAGCTCACGCGAGCCTTATCTCCCACACCCACCGAGCCAAGAAACCCGCCCGCAGCTCGGCTGAGCCTCACTTAACTATGAAATACACGATGTCCGCGTGTAACTCGCTAGAAACAACCTTCTACTTCCGTGACTACCGCCCGTGGCGAATGCAACCTGACGAGCCAGCAACAGGGGCCAGGGTCACTAGAAGAGAACCCACGTTTCTGAATTTCTTCGTTCAAATAATAAATGCTATAACACACTGCCACTGGTTTTCTGTCCGTCCGGTGGTTGGGGCGCCGCATTGGCCGCCACTTCCTTTGACTAGGCGTAATGCGGGCAAGCTGTGAACAGGTTTTTTGTGAAGGAGAGGCGACCGAACCCCAGTTAGATTTATCCAAAATCGCCGCCCCAGAGATTCCCATCCACGATCACCGAGCCCACACCGCCGCCTCCATCGCCCTTTCACACCTAGCTCGCGACCGCCATCAAAGTGAATGGCCGAGCAAAAATAAACACTGTTCTAAATTCGCCCTGCCAACGTTCGTCGAACTTGTCTCCCAAGAGACTCGCAAGGCCCAGGGTCACTCAATCTCCATACCCCCGACAACGCAACACAATGAATTCCAGCCGCTCCTCTATCCCACAGGTTCCGTGTCGTGGAAGCACGGTGAAATTGTGTCGTTTGCGAGGCCTTGAAAAATACGGTAACGATTGTCTGCTGGACAACATATCGAGAGGTGTCACCCAATGCGATAGCGCAACAGTCCCAAAATCACATGCAATCAAATCACATCAGACCAAAAAGACACACCCAATGCAATCCAAGAAGCACAGATCAGCAGCTGCCTCGCAACCAGGACCTCGTCGGGCTAGGTCTGCCACCTGTGGCAGAGTGAAGGGCTATAGTTCTAGAGCTAGGTCTGTGAGGGCATGTGATGTCTGCACAGTACGCATGGTGAGCAAGGAATGGAAAATCTGTGGCTTATGCAACTTTATCATGGTATGAGTGGCCTGTAGGCAGTCTGCACGGTATGCAAGGTGTATAAATCATGCTATGGGAAATTTGAGAATGCAAACATGGTCTGTATGTCAAGAAACTTCTGTAGACTACACAGGGTACGATAGGGTACGCAAGGTCTTAGCTCTAGTACTTATAGCCCTTCGCTCCGCCGCAGGCGTGCGACGGAGCAAATGGCTATAGTACTAGAGCTAGCAAGGTCTATGGTGTATGTGAGGCCTGTATGCTATGTGTGGTTCGTACACCATGTTTGATCAGTAGGGTATGCAGCATCTGTGACAGTTGTGTCACCAGCTTCTGCATTGCCATTGACCACATTCTGCAACTTATTTCCAATTACAGCGAACAAGCTGAATTTCTGCTTGATGCAATTTATAGCAGTGGATGGAATGGACTACGATAAACACAGGACTGTTTTAACTTTTACTAATCACAGTGTATGGAGACTGCTGCAATAAGAACAACTGCCTACCCAGAGAGTGGGCCAGTTTATCAATGAACAACTTGTGCAACCATGCCAATTCTCTACGCCTGTAAGGTGTGCACACAGAGACCGTGGCTATGCGATTGTTTTATGGCCATGATTAAAAATGTGATTGCTATCTATTTGATATTATGGCGACTACATCATTACATTTGCGTACAAAAGACATTTGGGAGGAACCTCGTGCTGTCTAACCCTTATATAAGGTTCATTCGAGGGGAAACCACAAAAGCATCTTTCACACACTGAGTGTTCATTCTACAGTGGTAGCTTCACTTTATAACTGGAACTCAAGGGAAATGTCTCCTTGGGACCTTGATAGATGGGCCTCCGCTCTAAAGTGGTGTCTGCTAACGCGGGGTGCGACTGTTCGTGCATGAGAACTAATTAACGGTACCTTTAGCGGCGTGTAGAACTCTAGCATGTAGCCACCGGCCGTCTTCACCAGCATCAGTCGACACTTCTCCCACTTGGCCTTGCCGTCGGAATCCTCGCCACAGAGAAAGCTCACGAGGCCCTCCTTCTTAATCTCGACGACAATCTTGCTCGTCTTGCAGTCGCGCTTCGTGCTCTGACCCTTGGCGACCTTGTCGTAATGCGGCGGTGACTTCAGCGCCACCTCGTCCGAGTTCTGCTTCTGGAAGATGCCGCGGCGGATGTTCTTAAACGACAGTCGCCGGAGGAACGGCCGCCGGTTCTTCGGTCCGTCCGGCTCCGTGTCCGAGCAGCCAGAGTAGTTGTCCGGCGACTCGCAGTCGAGCGTCCGCGAGCGGGCGATGCCGTTCTGTTGGAAGCGAAGCACGGTCGGGCGGTCGAGGCACGGGCTGCTCGCCGCCTCGCAGCCGTTCATAAAGCTGTCCATGAACTGCTCGACGAATCGCTCGCCGAACTCCCGCCGGGCCGCCGACGTCGCAAATCGCGGATGCTCGGTGACAAACACCCGAAAGTTTCTCGCGAACTCGACGGCTCCAGCACGGGCATGGCGATCGCAGAATTCGTGCCACACGTCTCCCGTCGGTGGGTTGTCCACGCTTGGGCTAGAAGAACTCACAGCCATCGTTAGCAGAGGCATTTGAACTATGTGCACAGTACGTTAACGCTGGCAGATCGCAGTCTGATTGTTTATAAGAGGCAACATATCGACGAGCGAGACGAAACGCACAGCAACTCCAGTTCATTCATACGAACGTAGGCAGTTCGAAAACACACAAGATGCCTGCTGCTGCTGCTGCTGCCGCTATCGCTGCTCTGCCTCCCATTCATTCGCCTGTTTGATTACAGATTGCGGACGGTTGGTTGTTTACGCCAATGGTAGTCGACGCTAGCGCCGCCGCTACGCGAATGTATTTAACCGGTTGTGTTGATTGTGTAATTTCTCAAAAGGGGGCGCTTCCGTTGTGTGCTCTCGTAGCATATAAGAGAACAGACACTGATCTCTATAATAATATCATAGATATTATTATAGAGATCAGTGAGAACAGACCACTATTAAATTCTCCATAGGATCCTATACTTAAGAATTGAATTTCAGGAGCTGAAAAATAGTATTTCGGCCGTTTTCGGCCGAGTGGCAATATTAAAGCTAGGTAGCCATGTACTTCAGCTGTGCACCATTAGAGTTATGACATAATAATGTTGTCCGGCGTTTTAAAAAAATATCGCGAATTTACTAATCGACACCACATTTGTGCCTGAAAAACAGTCGCGCAGTCGAATGGGGGCTATACATTGAAAGAATTCGTTTTATATTACCAGTAACCATCCACCCATCTTTATGTGCATGTCATTTTGCCACACACGATAGCCAGCCTAAATAATGCAACCACAAAACATTGCGTCAGATTTAGTGCACGAGCTGCAGGCCCTCCGATTGGTCGACCGATGACGCGTCACATCCTCTAACGCACCCGGCAGTTAGATGCGATATGATATGACTACTAGGCACTTAGGATATGACTACTAGGCACTTAGGATATGACTACTAGGCACTTGAAAAAAAAAAAAAACATTAACCCTAACCCTAACCTAACCTAAACCCTAAACCTAACCTAAACCCTAACCCTAACCCTAAAAAAAAAAAAATTTAATTAAATTAAAGTGCCTAGTAGTCATATCATATCGCATCTAACTGCCGGTTGCTCCTCTAACCTAACAGGGTAATGAACCGGTAGTGATTTAATAGTGGTCACGTGTCTGTATAGAAACGTTTTTTTCTGGGAATCTGTCAAATTCAATAAAATTCGTTCCGACAAACACCGCTGCACACGGGTGCAAAATTTTTGTTTAATTCGCTGTTCGGTTTTTGAGTTTTGGCGATTTCTTCGACCCCACCCTCCCGGCTTCAAGGCGATTACGTTGCCCGTCTGCTTTGCGGAATGCCAAGTCGGTGCATAGTTCGAGTAGTCGCTAGCGTTGAATAGAATGATTTACATTGAATAAAATTGCATTCACCTATGCGAAACTTGATATTCTATGAGATCAATAAAAAAATTGTAAAAAAATCGCACGTCGAATACGATTTTTTGGTAATTTAGAATGCCACATGATCGGACATAAAAAACGGGTCAAATTTTGCATTGGATTGAATATTTTTCTGAAAATAAAAGGGCTTTTTTGTCAAATTTGATGCTAAACGAACGCGACGTGTCTTGTTGTCTGCTATGCCAAAAATTAGCACTCGGAAGCAATCGGTTATTTTTTTATAGCGATTAAAGTAGCTGTGGGAATTGTACACCAGGTGGCGCTATCACATCATAGTGCTATTGGTAAACGTTCTATTTACACGCTCCAACAATGATGGTTGGAGGAATTTTTGATCATATCTCAAGAATAGGCATTTACGCTTCATTTGGAATAGAATTTGTGCAAAGGCGACAGTCAGTTTTGGAGACTAGGCGAATCCAATTTGTTTCACCCAACAAAAATCATCGCTTTCATTGTTCTACATTGCTGCGGATAGACACTATTGGCAAAGTGATCGACATAAAGGACCGTTTTTTATATGAAGACTTGTTCTAATAAAACAATACATGTGGGGCAAGTTCATTTCAAGGCTGTCACTCATGCAAAATTCTTCTGGCTGGTGCTTGAATGGGTGCAACGGACAGGCAGATGGACAAATACTGGGCCACGGAGTGTTCAGTGTAGCCATGAAAGCCACTTTTCACGCAATAAACAATGCTAATTAATTCGTGGCAGACACGAATGTTGTATAAAAATTGTTACCCAAGCATCATTCTTGAATTCGCAGTGTCTCTTTATGCCGATATTTACGCTGCGTGCCGATAGCGATTCCTATAGGCCTCCTTAGGTGGTAGATCATACTAGATGCAACGACTGCATGGCAATCATACGATCAATCATGCGACCTCAGCTCCCTAAAAAAATCATATAGGATTGACATTCAATGACAGAATTAGAAAGAAAACCTGATACAATAATACAAGTACAACGTCTTAGCAGTAGAATTTATGAATAGCAAGACTATTCGCCGACTATTAGTTGCGCCGATGAGATTTAACGAAAGCAGGGTTCTTCGACTGTCTGTGTGTGTGTGTGTGTGGGGGGGGAGGTTAACAAGGGTTAGGGATAGGGTTAAACCTAGTATTGCCATGACTAAGATGGGACCGAGAGCTAGGCTTAAGTACAGTATTGACGTTAGTCGTACGAACTAGAATGAATTCGTTATTTGCAATCAAAAGTTTCTATTTGCTAAATGTGCTGTTCCTTCACTAGAAAATGTCGCCAGATTTGTTCTCAACTCACACATTAACTTCTCCGAGTCCAACTTTAGCGCAATCTACACAATAAATGACACCCTACGACATTCTGCACTGCAGTAGGCACGAGAAGACGAGTGAAAATTTACTGCCCCGCACTTCGCAGGTCATTAGTATTAGAAAATGTGAAAATTTCCGGTAACATTTTTTCAGCGTGACAGAGAACAGACCACGTATGTAATCTCTCATAGGATCCTACACTTAAGAATTGGAATTCAGGAGCTCGAAAAATATATTGTCGGCCGTTTTCGCGATGTCGGCCCAAATATTAAAGTAGGATTAGCCATGTTACTTTCGAGCGTCGCAACATTATAGTTCAAGACATAGTTGTCCTCGCGTTGTTAAAGAAAAATATCTGCGAAGTTACTAAATCGAGCACCACATTTTGCCTAAAAAAGCACAGTCGCGCGAGTCGAATATGGGGGCTATACATTGAACGAATTCGTTTTATACATTACCAGTAACCATTACCCATCTCCAATGTGCATGTCATTGACCACACACAATAGCCAGCCTCAATAATGCAGATCACAAAAGTCGCGATCGCTTTAGTGCACGAGCTGCAGGCCCTCCGATGGTCGGCCGGACTGACCCACATGCCTCGTTAAGCCTAAGCAGGGAATATGAGACCGTTAAGTGAGTTTAATAGTGTCCACGGTTCTGTATAAGAAACGTTTTTCTGGGAATCTGTCAAATTCAATAAAATTCGTTTCGGACAAACACTGCTGCACACGATTGCAAATTTTTGTTTAATTCGCTGTTCGCTGTTTTGAGTTTTGGCGATTTTCTGACCCACCCTCCCCGCCGCTTCAAGGCGATTCGTTGCCGTCTGCTTTGCGAATGCCAAGTCGTGATAGTCGATGTAGCTCGCTAGCGTTGAATAGAATGATTTACATTGAATAAAATTGCATTCACCTATGCGAAACTTGATATTCTAGAGATCAATAAAAAAATTGTAAAAAAATCGCCGTCGAATACGATTTTTTGGTAATTTAGAATGCACATGATCGGACATAAAAAACGGGTCAAATTTTGCATTGGATTGATAATTTTTCTGAAAATAAAAGGGCTTTTTGTCAAATTGATGCTAAACGAACGCGACGTGTCTTGTTGTCTGTTATGCCAAAAATTAGCACTCGGAAGCAATCGGTTATTTTTTTATAGCGATTAAAGTAGCTGTGGAATTGTACACCAGGTGCCGCTATACATCATAGTGCTATTGTAACGTTCTATTTACATGCTCCAACAATGATGGTTGGAGAATTTTTGATTCATATCTCAAGAATAGCGCATTTACGCTTCATTTGGAATAGAATTGTGCAAAGGCGACAGTCAGTTTGGAGACTAGGCGAATCCAATTTGTTCACCCAACAAAAATCATCGCTTTCATTGTTCTACATTGCTGGCGGATAGACACTATTGCAAAGTGATCGACCATAAAAGACTGTTTTTATAATGAAGACTTGTTCTAAATAAAACAATACATTTGGGGCAAGTTCATTTCAAGGCTGTCACTCATAGCAAAATTATTCTGGCTGGTGCTTGAATGGGTGCAACAGACAGGCAGATGGACAAATACTGGGCCACGGAGTGTTCAGTGTAGCCATGAAAGCCACTTGTCACGCAATAAACAATGCTAATTAATTCGTGGTAGACACGAATGTTGTATAAAAATTGTTACCCAAGCATCATTCTTGAATTCGCAGTGTCTCTTTTATGCCGATAATTACGCCTGCGTGCCAATAGCGATTCCTATAGGCCTCTCTAGGTGGTAGATCATACTAGATGCAACGACTGCATGGCAATCATACGATCAATCATGCGACCTCAGCTCCCTAAAAAAATCATATAGGATTGACATTCAATGACAGAATTAGAAAGAAAACCTGATACAATAATACAAGTACAACGTCTTAGG